TTTAAAAAAAATTTAGTAGTGTTTTACTAAAGTATTTGTTAGATTATTAAAAAGTTTTACCTTCGATATACGACGAATTCAATTGATTTTACGCTCATCTGTATGTATAACACGTATAGTGATTTCATACGTTGAATACAATTATATGTAGCGCTTTCAGTACATCAAAATAAAAACATCTACAATAATTTAATTAACAATAACATAATAACAAAAATAGCAATTTAATGTATGGAGATTTAAATAAACGTATACGACATTAGTATATATTAGATAATGTGAAGTATTTAATAATAAACACAAGATATAGATATAGATATGTTTATCAAGTAAAAATGTAACTCAGTTTTTTCATCTGTTTTGCTTTATTAAATGCTGAGTAAATCATTTGAGACTGGAAGTTGAAATATTTTTGAAACTATTAATTATAACAAAAAATACTTCGGACAGATGTATTCTATTCCGAGGAAAAGTAATTTAATTATGATTGGTTTTTTCAGATGGATGCATAAATAACGCATGAAAGTTAATTTTATTTTTTTAAATGGAATCATAATTTTTTATTCTTACTTGTTTCAGTCTGGGAAATATCATAATTTTAATTTTGTATCACGTGAAAGATAAACAAAACTAAAAAATGGTATTCTCATGTTTATGTTGTTCTTGTCTCTATTGTGTCATAATTAATTAGTATATTAATATTATATTATTATATTAAATACGATAATTACATACTAATATTATCTCTTATTATTAAAATTTTCACAAATACTTCACCTTCCAGTCTTATGCGATTCATCTGATATAAGTAAAATTAATTATGTTTTATATCTGCAGTAGAATCCCCGTATTTATGGTTTCAGCCATTCACAGGAAATCACGAAACTTACTCCACTGTACCGTGTGACGTCAAGAGCCTAAATAGTTGACTTCTCGGAATGTCGAGGTAGGGACAGGCTGTTTTAACGTGAAACTCCTCTTGCCGCTCTGCCGCCCCAAGAGACTTCTTTTGATTTGTACATACTAAGTAAATACCTACGTGACTTCCAGGACCAGACTAGCTGTGACGCTTTTTGACGAAAAGCTGACCAAAATATAATGTTCGAAATATGCAACACTTTGTGTATATATATATACTGATTGATTACTGAGATGTGGACCATTTTTGACGAAATTTAGAGCTTCCTAACCTAAAAATGTTAGTCAGTAAGTTATAGCAATTTTGACGAGTATACTAGTCAAAAACAGCTAACTGGTTATGTCGAAAATTAGAGCACCTTTAATATGCCAGGAAAAATTTATCTTAATAAATTCCTTATGTAAAACAGTTTACTATTAAAATAGATAGTAAAATCGCAGTTTAGTGCCTTGTCCCAATTTCCCTAATTTTGCTATTATTTTTGTGTGGAGGATTTCATTTTATCGATAAAAGTGAAAATCAATTGAGGAAATTAAAAAAATGTTGCACTTTTTGTTATTTCATTAAAAATAAACGGTAAAAGTAAAACTGGCCAGTTTCTGATATATCAACATCCTTCGATTTGAATGATTTTTTAATATGTTGTCAAAGAGATGATTTTGGACAACTTTTTCCTTATGCACGGAAATTCGTAGCTTCTGAGATAATCGTGCAAAACTTTCGTACTACACTTCGAATTCTATATCCGTGAGCGTGACTGTAAGACTGCGCAAGCATATGAGATTATTTGTAGTGACTAAAAGCATAGTCGCCTGCTCACCGTTTTGATTGCGGCTTACATTGATCAGCTGTCGATCATCTCGGGTTATGCGAGTACAATTTCCAAACTAGAACTTTTGTGGAGGAGAGTACCTATGTAAAATTCGAGAAGATCGAAAACCGAAATGACGAACATGCGGTTGTTTGTAGCATCTCATAGACGTGCTCATAAATGTAGAATTCAATGTAGTAGTAACGAAAGTTTTCTCGATTATCTCAGAAACTAGAGGTTTCCGTGCATTATGTATAAAGAAAAATTTATCCAAAATCATGTCCTTAACAACGTATTAAAAAATCATTTAAATCGGAGAGCGTTGGTATATCAGATTCTAGCCTAGGTAATTCTTAAGGACATCACCGTTCGGTGATCGATATGTATGGTATTTTGAGGAGTCGTAGGAAACAGAGGAAGAACTCCAAACAAAAAGTTTTAGCTTCGGGTATGTAAGGTGTTACTTCTAACGCAAAGCACGATTTTTCACCGACTTGCAGCCATCTAACAAAAAGAGTTTAGAACAAGAGTTGCAGGTTATAGAGTGTACAATAGATAGCAGTTAAAAAAAAATTCGGAAATAGTTTGTTTTTATGGCAAAATGAAGTTACCTTGGGTTTTACAAATAGGAACATATTTTCTTTTTACCATATCTAAAGACATTGAGACGAATTCAGAACACTTATTACATGATATTTTGACTAATATATGCTCCGATCTACAGTAGTGGAAATGTGAAATATTTAACTGTTCGTATTTAACTCGTCGTATTTGACTTTAAGATAATGTAAACATTATTTGATATTGAAGAGATTACTTGCATTCGCGAAAAATCAACGTCATTCCAACTCTTTCGGAATTAGAACAAGAACACATTGTTGCAAACGATTATTTTGCACCAAATATGGAGGTACGATCTTGCGTGGAAACCAACGAAGACTGACGAAGGAACTGCAATGACAAACTAACAATTCCACTTAAGCAATATACCGTGTTTACATTTAGTAATCTCTTCGGTATTAAATAATATTTTCACTGTCTTAAAATCAAATACGACGAAAAGCTAAATATTTCACATTTCTACTATTGTAACTCAAGGAATATTTTAACAAAAATATCATTTAATATGTTTTGAATTCGTCTCGATATTTTCTACAATATCGTAAGAAAAATATGTGTTCCTACTGGTAAAATCCAATATGACCTCGATTTCATCATGAAAACAAATTATTTTCGAAATTTTTCTACTGATATCCATTGTACACCCCATACCCAGCAACTCTTGTCTTAAACTTTATTTTGTCAGATGGTTGCAAGTGGGTGAAAAATTGTGCGTGTATCACTCTATATGTTAGTTTCTAAGATATTAAGGAAAAACTTTCGGTTCAATACATCTTTTGAAAATCGATGTTACCGCTGTAGTCTTTGTTTCTAAACTGAAACAATTTACCCGTTATATCTATAGGCTTTTAGCCGTGGCGATAGAAACAGCAGATGAGGGTCTAGCCCATGCTTACGCATTCGCTAGGTATATGCACAATTCAATGTATAATAGTAGTATTAGCAACATTTGTGAATACATATTTCAAATTGTTAGAACCCTCCTTGCAGCGTGGCCCTCACACTATTTACTGCGCACAATTTATTTGCCCTTGGAAACGTTTTCCCTCAAGGGGTGCGCGTCGACAAAACGCAGACGACTGCGTCCGATTTTTCCTTCGTTTAGATTTTCTTACAATTAATAGAATTTTTGGTTACTGTGATATTAATACATTTTCTTTTTTCAAAAAAATAATTCATACCATATGATGTCCACCTATGTCTGTATGTTCAAATGATTTAATGTTGTTTACTGTCCTATCAAAACATTTAAAGCAATGCCTTTTAACATTATTATTATTCACTTTCTGACAAGTATATCATTGAAACAGCTGTAAAAATAAAAATAACGATCAAAATGTCGGTTGTTGCTTTTGCATTACAATAACTTTATGTTTTTTTTAGTAAACGGTAAATAGTAGTCCACAAAATTCTATCGTTGTCGAACCATCATTTTACCCATGTATCATCATTTTAAAAAAGCAACGACAATTAACTAGTTTTAATAAGAACAACACAGCAAAGTACATGCCAACTTTTTATAACTGTCTTCTCATCTCCAGGATAAATAATTATGTATGTTGAACTCTTTCAAACATATAGAATAATGGTCTGTAAAAAATTTTTATTGAAGAAAACCTGATCCATTACGGGGAAAACGAGTGTCTTCTGTAATAAATAAAACACATCGTCAATATTGTATTTCTGTTATAGACATTTACGTTTTTTATTAAACTTTGATCTTCTTTTATCGAATTATTGACATTATTTATCGGAAATTTCAAGGTTCTAGAATTATATTATATAAAAACTAAAATTTACAATGACATGATGACAATATGTCTGACGATAAATTGTTTTAAGGTACAGTAATTGACCTGGTATTAGTAGTAGACCTAGAAGTCAAGAAAATATAAAAAATACGAATTTATTTCATTGACGTTGGTTATATGCCTCCTATTTCCAATATAAAATTAACTACTTTTCATTTGTATTTGTCCTTTTACTTGTAATTCACTATAATCGTTGAAAATAAATGATATTAAAGTAATCACCTTTAGTGTTTTTGGTTTTACTGTAAGTGACCAACTACTAACTAACATATGGCTAATTACTAGTTTTCTCGTTTTAACGAATAGTCAACTTCTGGCGCAAGTATCGAATTTTCAAAAATGTCGATCAAATTTGGATAATATAACTATTTCAAGAGTCACTCTATTTAATAAAGCAGTAAGCGTTTAGTATTATTCACGTAAAATATTTTCCATAACCTGTCAACTACTGATACTTTTACCTTAATAGGATCAGATTTGGACTTAATATGATTAGTATACTGGTTATATTGTAATAAAATTATAATAATGCAATCTTTAATTTGAATAAGTTTCTATTCATACGAGTAATGTACTGCTCAACGGCTGACAGTTAACAATTATTCTAACCATGAGATATGACATATATATTACACGAGCTTATGTGTATAATTCAAGTTCATAATCAAAAAGGGAATTCTTTAGATTTGCTGATTTTACCAACTTCAATCGTCGGTTTAAATATAATTTTTAAATTTACCATTCTAAATCGTAGATGGCATGTCAATACGTCTGCTTTTTTTACACGATCGGTATTTCAGATCATTCGAAACGAAGTCTCAAAGTTATCAGTGTATCTCGTTCCTCGTCAGTAGTTTGACTTTTCACGCAGTCGGTAAATCAGAAATTTAATATGAAGACTCGTAAGTTGCAGATCTATTCGTACACCTCGTCGGTGGTCCTACCGAATAGGTTATCTTTATAAAGGTGAAAAGTATTCTGCAGTAATGGTTTTAATTAAGTTTAGTAGCAGTTGTATTATAAATGGATGTATATTAAGTACGAAGAAGTATAGTGTTCGGTGTTTCAGTTTCAACTCCGTTAAGGGTGCATTAACAAATATTTTTCAATCAAAACCATTAACACCCCCTTATGATCATGTTTGTCAAGTTGGCGACCCTGTTCTACGAATGAAAGCGACACCAGTAGACCTCAAAATAATAAAAACGCACGAATTTCAAACGGTAATACCATTTAATTCTAGATGTATTGACGCTTTTCGACATTGTTTAATGCGTATTATCATATTTGATATTGCAGATACTTCAGAAATTAAGTAAGGTAATCAAAAAATATGATTTGGTGGGAGCGGCAGCGCCACAAATCGGTATTTCTTTGCAAATATTTGCTATACAAGTAACGGAAGGGCAAATTGCTCGTGTAACTCCGCAAGTATGTGAGGCATATGAAATGGAACCACTACCATTAACGTATTTTATTAATCCGACTATAAAGATAATAAACCCGACACAAGTAATACATCATGAATCATGTGGGAGTATAACCGGTTTTGGCGCCTCAGTTTCAAGAGCAAAAGAAGTTGAAGTCAAAGCTTTCAATCAATTAGGAGATACATTTTCCTGGCAGGCCAAAGGATTGGCAGCTAGAATTATTCAACATGAATATGATCATTTACAAGTAAATTAATTTTATCTTATTATTTTATTAATGATGATAGTAACGATAATATCTCATATGTAGTGTAAATAATAGATTATTTTATTGTAACTTAAAATCTAAAAACAGAAGTTACAAAGTATTGTTTATATACAGAATTTCCTTCTCATAGAAATGATTTTACTGAATTTGCCAATTTAAATTTGATATGAGTAGAATAATAAATATATTCACATTTTTTATGCGTATATGTTCAAACAACAATACAAATTTGTTGCCCATGTGCATATATTTCAAATTGTTTACATTTACGTTGCATGTTTTATTAATATGTGTATTCAGTGAGCTATTTTTTTCATCTTTTACATTTTACATTTATAATACAAATAAAGTATAATTGAAAACCTTTTTATTATTAAGATTATATTTCTGTACATCATATTTGATCGTTTCATAAAATTTCATAATTTTATTTTGAAAGGTTTTACAATTTTTATTGGTTGTCCAGTTGATGTAAAACAATATTCCTAAAGATTAAGGACCTCAGGTAAATATATCATTCATTTATATTTTTTGTACTTTCAGGGTAAACTTTATATTGATAGGATGGATCCATCTACGTTTGAGTGTCCAATTTGGGAACTGATAAATGTAAAAAATGGTAAAGTTACTATTACATTTAGACCATAATAATTATGGTGATGAATGAAATAATTTGTATTATATGAAAAATCATATTACCACCAATAAATTTGATTGAACATCTTTGAAAAATATAATATAATAACTAGGTTACTTTTATTCATACATTCTTGAGATTATAATTTAAATTATATCTATTATGTGACGTTTTATTACAAGATATAAATCTCATTTAAAAAATACCAAATTGTGTAATAAAATTTATTTAATATATAATTCATTAAATTTTTGTTATGAAATTTGTTTATAACTGTCTTTTATATTTAGTTTGGTTGAGTTGATGTTACAGATTTTGTTATATATTACACAATTCAGTAACAGTAAACTCACTTTAATTTTTTAAGTATTCATAATTTGTAATTAATATTTCCCGTTTATTCGAATCAAGAAACTGGAATGAAACTTTTTAGATAGCCCAAAGCATGTCTTATTGGTTGTACATTATTTTTTATTTTCAGTGAAATGGATTTTTATCCTTTTCATGATTGAGAAATAAGTACTAATCATTATTTATAATGTAATTTAAAGCAATAGTCTAAAATAATTTGAATAATTTGAAATTATTTTAATTCTTTGATTTATAAAATATGAGCTATTACACTGTGGAACACGATTTTTGTTTTGTAATAGCCACTAGGTGTTCCTTATAGAGTTCCTTACCCTAAATACAAATTCGAAAACCAAATTGCTGGGTCACGTCCAGTTTTCGAAGAAACTTTGTAAAAACGGTCGAATTTTTCAGAGAACCAAGTGTTACGTCAAAACTAAAAATGATAAGCAGTTCAAATTTGTTGCAAAAAATAAAGGAGACTTGCCCGATCACGCAGCTATAAAAATTTTGAATTTTGCGTATCATTAAATGTTTATAAACGGTGATCAAAATTTAAAAAAGGGTAGATGCGCGTACTTTGTACGCATTTCTGTTACATTTCTACGAAAAGTGGGTTGGCTAGCATGAATTTACTATGCACTATTGGATTCTGCAGATATTTCTGAAGAGGAACCCCTCGCGGGAAGCATGAGAACGGTGTTTCTTTTAGACAGGTTAAGAAAATCTCCGTGAAAAGCCCGTGCACAGAACTTTCGCGCTACACGGCCATCACTTGCTGGCCACAGGACCGTGACTACGCACTATATAGACCTGGACTCTGGTCACTTCTTATATGTATATATAATGTTTAATTATTTTATAAATTTTCACAGTAATTATGAGAAACTTTTTTACGAGCATTATAGTTTTATATAGTAATTTATTATCTTCTTAAGCATTTGTATAAAAGTGAAGTACGGAAGTATGAAAATAAAATTTGGTAAAAAAGTAAGGAAAATTAATACAAGATAATATTTATTTCTTTTCGATAAATAAATTAAGGAAAATGATGTTTTATATGCACAACTTAGTAATTTTTATTATAAACTTCAGAAATATTTACATAAGAACAGAAAAAAATTAGCCATACGTTAATTCTTACACGCCTTTGTACACAGTAAATAGTTTACTAATTCTTTGTCTTATGAATAATTTTTTTGTTACATTGAAAGCAATAACGTCTGTGTATACGTATTTCTATTTAAGTAGTACATTAAAAAATGGTTTTTGTTCACAAAAATTGACATTATGTCTACAAATGAAATTATAAATTATAAATTATATAGTAGAGATAAATTTGTTTCTGATGGTCGTATTTGAGTTTGCAACTCCACATGGGAGAAAAGTTCTGATTAAATTTTAAAGAAAATTTTTCTTTGAAATGACTAAAAGGAACTTGGTTACTAGTATTATTTACTAATATTCAAGAAGTATAAATTAATTTCTTAAGATAAAAGTATCTATTAAATTAAGATAATTTGTTTCAATTAAAATTCATTGAATATTATGAAGATGTAACAAGATTTTAAGAATTATAGTATACAATAAATAAATAGCGAATTCTTTTATATACTTGAATGGAAAGTAGTATGTTGTATAAGCAGATTACAAATTTTTCAGCAAGAGTGCAATATTATATAAATATATTATACTGTAATATATATTATATTGCACTCTTGGAG